TGTATGGCCTTAAAGAAGCATTCTAATTTTGCTGTGCTTTTGTTCCTGGTTACTCCTATTGTAATATCTTGAGATGATTTAGTCAGAAATCAGTGATCATAATTTTTTTTTCCGCAATGGTTTCTCCCACAATGAACCTCAGGTTCTCTTTTAATCAATTGTCCACAAAATCTTGACTTGAGTACAACACTCAGAATTCTGGGGGTGAGTATGTAGCACTAGCTGTTTTTGTAGTAAATCATTTAAATGCAGATTGAACCTCTGGAAAAAAAAAAAAGGAGAAAAAAAGAAAAATGCTTCTAAGTCTGTATGAATGCTCACTTTACCTGTTCAGGGTTTTCATCTCCATCAGACATAAACTGAGTGTTTTTATGTAGGTGAATACGTCAGTGTCTGGGGTAAGCATTATTTTAGGTACACAAATGGAAAAGTTATAATGTTTGAGGTAATCCTGCATCTCACGATGTTGACGTTTTGCTAAAATAGTGGTCTGAAACAACACAACCACCAGCTTCCTCGAAATACATTGAACCATTAAATGAATCTATGGAAGTTAGCTTGCTCCAGTTGGTTTCTTTTCTGCCTCATACATGCATACTCTGGTTGTGCTCATATTAGAGGCCACAAGCCTTAGCATCCATTTCTGACAACCTGGAACCAGGCTGCAGAGCATGAGTGAAGGCCAAGCACAAACCAAATTCAATACCTGTTTCCTGGGAGTCATGGATATGAAACTGGAGAATACCTGTGCCCTGTAGTAGGAACTGAGTTCCCTTAGAGAAGTTATTTGTAGTTCCGCATTTAAAAAGGCATACTACATAGTAGAATGTCATGCTTCAAAGTAAATTCTGATGGTTTAAAATGTATGGGGATGTGGTGTTGTGTGTGCACGTGTGTGTTCCCTTTTGGTTAGCAAATGCTCACAGGCAACAAGACGCAAAAATCAAGACTATATTTGAAAAACCAAAGTGTGCTTAATGTGTTACCTGAATCAATCAAACCAAATACTTAAGATATATCAATGTATCTTTATGTGTCTGTCTGTATACACACACAGTGTGTTATATCTACATAAACACATATTTCCCTGCTACCCTATGGCAGTTTTATAAAATCACTTTGTGGAAGTTGTGTTCAGCTGGTATATAAAATCAATTTGTCCAGCAACTTATTTATTCAGGTTGGTCTTGCCTACTCTTTTACATCGTTGGTGTGGCTTGAGCCAAAAGCTATTCTACATTCTTACTCAGAAATGTGTATACTGAGTTTATTATAGATTAACAGGAATGTTGATTTCATTGTAAGTAATGTTCTTTCCATGAGTGATGGTTCTTTGGTTTAAAGTAGCTGTTATTTGTCACACTGACAGGTACACCTACTGCGAAATGCTGGCGATGAAGTTACCATCACCGTTCAGTACCTCAGGGAAGCTCCATCATTTTTAAAGCTCCCATTAGGTAAGAGGAAATTAACGGATAGGAGTAATTTGTTTTCCTCTTTGCTGTATTCTCATAATAAACTGACAGTGACAGAAATAGGAATTCAATCCCTGAGTGTTTTACAGGAAGAAGTAGAAAATTGTCTGTCTACTTTACTGTTTAACATATAATAATCTAATGCATACTGACTTACTCTTTATGTGTAATTTATTCAAAATAAGACTGAAAAAAAATTCATTCAAATACGGTACAGTCGTGGGTGATATCTGAAAGTTTTTCAACAGAAGCTTTACCTGAATACAATTAAATAGTGTTTACAAACATTTGAATCATACATTGACCTTGAAAGGTACTTTCAGGACACCAAACAAATGGATAACATTAATTATGTATATTTCATAAATTACTTTACTATTTTGATTGGTTTTGTCAGAGAGCAGAATTATGATGTGACAACTGAGTAGTTTAACAGTAGCAATACCAAATTGTGTATGAACAAATGCAGCCAAAGGAAATTTTGGGTTCTTCTGCTTAGCAGATAAAATATTCAAGTTGCACAGTTGTGATCAATGTTGCAGGTAGAAAAGTGTTCATGTCAGCTGACTTAATCAGACCAAATAATTTTGCACCAGTTTATTTTAACAGATTATTATCCTTCCAGAATAAGCAAAAATATTTGAAATGTGTCTTGTTCTTTGGATTTATTTAAGTTGGGCTCAACTAGGTACTTGTTTTTTTCCTGATTTCAATAGGTCATAGAATCATAGGTGTCATAGTCTAGCTCTTGCCATTACAAGAGCACTGATTGTTTCATCTGGGTTCTTACACCAGTAAAAAGCCAACTTGACAGACCTCTACTAAGCTGAACTATACCTTTCATGCTAAGACCTTTATTTCAGTTCTCACTGCTTATCATTTGTATTGGAATATAAATTTGAAGAAATCTTATGTTTACATTTTGAGATCTTTGTATAGTCAATGTTTCTTTTGTTTTCCTACTTTTCCTACTAGGTCATAGGACTAATGTCTATAATGCCTTGGATAACTGTGTCCAAAGTTAAACATGATTTTGCCAAGTTAGCAACATCTTACTAGTAGTTTCTGT